TGACTTATCCCAGCTTCTGCCAACCTAGCTGTTCGAAAGCATGTAAAAATGCAAGTAGAAAAAATAGGAACCACCTTTGGTGGGAAGGCAACAGCATCCCGTGCGCCTTCGGTGTTGAGTCATGCCGGCCACATGACCACGGAGACGTCTTCGGACAGTGCTGGCTCTTCGGCTTTGAAAAGGAGATGAGCACCGACCCCTAGAGTCGAAAACGACTAGCACATATGTGTGAGGGGAACTTTTACCTTTTTTAAAAGTAAAACGATAGCAAATGCGATGAAATGGTTAAGGTATTGAACAAGACCAGGATGACTGGTTCACATCTACTCCCAGCCGTGGGAATTCACTGGGTGACCTTTGGGTCTATTGCACACACTCAGCTCAACCTACCCCACCTCATATGGGGATAAAAATGAAGATATCTCTGTAAGCTGCCTTCACAAACAGGAAGAATGATACAATATAGTCAGGCATGAAATCCTCTTACCTTCACTACCGGTTTGGAACTGGGAGCGCATGCTCACTTCCCTCACAGGCAGCGCTCCTGCGCATGCGCAGACTGTCCATGATGATGTCTGGGCAGGTGGGCAGAGCCTCCCACCGCCACCACTACCAGTTCGCCCGAACCGAGGCGAATACAACCTCTGAATATAGTTGTAATAAATGAACATAACATTTGAAAAACAGCAAGGCAGATTTCATTCTGGCATAAGCCAAAGCGGATCCCATGTTGATGGCAGGGATCTTCTAATGAGGCTTCACAATGAGCACCATGTCAGTGTTCTAAGCATGAGGAAATGAATATTCATGAGCTTCAGTGCTATCAGCAGCCAATAGGAATGCTTGTGCATTGCTGGAACTTTCTGAACCAATTGAAGAGAATATAGGCGCTTTGGGGTTGAACTCTGGGGTCCTTGCTCCTCTCTGAGCTTGGTGATTTTCTTGCAGATATTTTGTTACCCAATAAAGTAGCAGCACTGCTAGATAATAATAGAGGAGAATATTTGTAGCTCAGGGTGGAACTGTGAAGTCCACATTCTGTGTTTCTTGCAGATGTCTTATTACCCAGCTAGGTAACATCATCAGGGCTATCTGAATAATGAAACATCTGCCAAAAAAAACCCCCACCAGGTTCAGAGAGCACCAAAGTCCCCACTTTCTGAATTATCTGTCCTGTTGCCCACCTTACCTCTGCATCCTAATGGCTTACTCTTTTCCAGGCAATTTGCTGTCACCCGCCCATCTTGATTGGGACATGCTGTTGGAGCCCTCGTACCTTTTCAGCCCATCACCAGCCTTGGAGCAAGGAATGCCTGATGGCAGCCCCTTGCCTCCTCTCCAGTGCCAGGTGGTGATCCATGCCCTCAGTGCAGGAAAGCCCGTCTCCTGGGAAGTGATCGGTGGCCTGGATTCCTTGTTCCTCCCCAAAGGCAGCCTGGAACATTCCCAGGGACAGCAGCAGCAGCCGCCGCCAAGCACGGGATTGGAGAAGCTCCTTCACCACCTGACCGCTGCCTCCGTTATCCGGGATAATGAGACTGTGGCTCAGAGGGAAGCAGAAGTGGAACACGGTAAAGCCCCTTTTCCTCACGTTTTCCTTGCCTTCAAGTTTGGCCTGCTTGAGCAGGGGGCTGGACTAGAACACCTCCAAGGTCCATTCCAGCTCTATTCTGATTGATTGATTGGCTAACAACCGGTTTGGGGGTAGTAGGTCTGTTCCTCCCTCCCAAAAAAAGTAGGCTGGATTGGGGCAATTTCCCCCACCCCCGCCGCCCACAATTCATTAACCTCCAAGTGTCAATCCTGAAAGGCCAGTTCCTGGTCATTTATTTTTGGTTTGACATTTTTTTAGCACTTTATCTTAACTATAAAATACGAAAAAAATTGAAAATAATGGGGGAAAGTAAGGGAGGAAGAAGGGAACGGGAAAAAGTGTAAGGGAAAAGAGAAAAGAGAAAAAAGTCCTGACTTATGACTCTCTTTTAGATCAGTAGAGTGAGACAATGATATACAGCCTCATTTTTTTTTTACTTTTGCATACTAATATATACTCGCCATTTCTATAACAATACAATACAATACAATACAATACAATACAATACAATACAATA